GGTTCCTAATCCATAGCAGCTTTTTGCCAGCAAGATGTGGGAGAGAAGAAACAGGATGCATCCTGCATGAATCATCACTGTAACCACCCTGGATTTATTAGCTGAAATAATGAGGAACACCGAAAATGATTAAAACCTCAAAATGTCTGGTGGAAGACATCTTCTCAAGGTCTGACTCTCGTGAGCTATTGCCATAGACTTCCTGTTGATAGTAAAGCAGCCAGGACTAAAAGGGCCAAGCTTTCAAGACCAAATAATTTATTAAACAAAAAAAAAAAAAAAAAGAAAGAAAAGAGAGACATTTGTCATCAGTGTCTATCTCAGAAAGAGATAAATACATCCCCAGCACCTTTCCAAAAAACATTGCTTGAGATTCTGGTAGCTGGGGACTACAGGCTGAAAGGATGAGGAACACATGAATCTGTAGAGTGATTTAGTAGGAAGGAGCAGGACTTTCCTTGCTCTTTAAGCCGTAAACAGCTTCTTTGCTCAGTATTTTGCAAGTTCATTTTTAAGGTTGATAGTTACCAGTAGATTCCACCAAAACGCAGCTCATGGCTAACATGGACCCCAAATAAAAACATTTGCTTTACCTGAAGGGTAGTCCTGGTTCTGCAGTGCTCTCCTTGGCAGCTGGATGGAAGCCATTTCCCAGGATGCTGATTTCCTTTGCTATTCTCTGTTCATTTCTTCCTTTGCTATTCTCCCTTCATTTCTTTCCTCAGGCTCCCCCTAATCCTGCCCTTAACTTCCTCATTCTCCATGGTCCCCCAGCGCTTCCTCCTGCAGTGGTTTAACCCCACGAGCTTCCTCTGGGGTCACAGCTCACAATCACTGTGTTGCCCTCCATTTGCCATGTCCTGGCCTTTGTTTCTGCCCTTATTCATCCCAAATTTGGGCTGAGAGATTTGGGTTCTCAGTGGAGCAGGATACCATGGTACCCATAGGTAATAAATGCAGCAGAGTGAATGAAGTTCTTGAGCATCCCTTCAGTGCAGGAACATCCCCTGGAACAAGCTGGAGGAAAAGCTTCACTTAGCATCACTTCAACAACTCAACATAAGAAGCAAAGCATAAAAATAGGCATATAGCTCTCACCTCTGCAAAGTCTGGAAATGATGGGCATGAATTTACCAGAGTGAGAAGTCCTAGACATCCATACTGGAAGGAACGTTGGGAGATCAGTGGTCTCTCTGACATCTGTGGGGTTTGCCTGCTGCTCTGCTCTATTGCAGGCTCTCCCTGCATTCCGCAGCATTCAGCTGAGGAGGCTGAATACCTCGCTATTTTTAAAGATAAATGTTAATCTGATTAATTGCCAGTACTCCAGGAATGGTGCCAGGGCTAAAAAGTATCTACTAAGAAACTACCAAGAAATACTGTTAAACAGGATCTAGGCAAAAAGCCAGACAAAAATTTATGATGCTTATCTCTGCAATAATAATTTCATGGTGGTTAACCAAGGAGCAGAACAAAGGTCATCAGTTTCATATCAGCTGGAGTTTGTGCAATTCTTTGTTTTCTTTTGTGTGCTTGCCCTGCAAGTTTGATGCAGAAGACCCTAGAAATGAATGGAAAAGCCTGTCAGTTCAGAGTGGGCAATTTGCATCTCATTCTTTGCTCAAGACCAAAGAAAAGCTCAAACCAGAAGCCTTCCCATTACTGCTCAAAACCCAAACCAGCTCCTAATGCAGGGTTAGCAGCTTTCACCTCGTTTCATTCAATGAGTTATCCATAGGACAGGTATGATCAACATCCATGTTACTGAAACCCCATGGATTAACATAGTCATGAGAGGCTATCTAATAATTTTGCTCTTGTGTAAATAAACATGAGACTCAACCTCATCTTAGGTTTTTCTGCTTTCCAGCAGGAAGAGGGACAAACAAGAGACCCTTGGAGACCTCTGAAAATAAATAAAAGGAGAAGAGGCTCTTTCTTACTGCTGTTTTCTCTTATTATGGTAGAAATAATTCTAGAGAAAATATACACTTTGCTTCTTGACACAGCTGCCAAGATCTCAGTTTTACAGAGAGGATTGGGTTTCAGAATCTTTCCAAACCAGCCCCCACAAAATTAATTGACCATCCAGGAATCGTGGCTTTGGATGTTATTTATTTTGAAGGTAGAGTTCTGATCCCAGCGACTGTAGAGAAAACCTTGAGAAGGCAATCTTTCTGACTCAGAGGGTGGGATTTGGCTGCCCACGCGCAGAGCCTGGTGCCATCCAAGATGCCCTTGTGCATCTGAAGCATCCCACAGGCCTGGCAAAGTGACACATCTGAGGGGAGATGAGTGCTTTTCAGAAGGAAGAGCTGGAGTCTGGGAGCTTCTAACATCCAGCTTGGCTCAAAGAAACTGTGTTTGGACAGCTGAATCAAGTCCTAACACACACGTATAGCACACGTATCAGCAAATCTATCAGTCACTCAATCAATCACAAGAGATATTCCCAAATCTTCAGATTTCACGTCGGTTCTGGAGGCAATTTAAGCACTATTTTTCAATGCTCAGGACTGTGTTAGAAACACTCTATTTGCTTCACTGACACTTCCAAGCATACTGAAGCATTCATCTGGCTCAGGCTCCATGGTCCCCACCCCGTCTCTAACGTCCTCTTCTCCATCCTCTGTCCTTCTGGGGCTCCAGCACAGCCGTGGGATTCATGGTTCCCTGTCTGATCTCCAGGCTGCAAGAGAAATACATACATACATTTATTTATTTATTTTTCCCAAAAGAGAGATGTGCAAAACGCAGGAGGCAAAGACTTTCCACGAGGCCAAGGGGAAAGAGCTGTGACATGGTTTATAGAGCCCAGAGGGGCAATAGAAGGGGCTGGCATGTGAACCATCAGCAGCTCTGGGGCAGCATTACCTCAGAAAGTCAGAGCTTTCACGGAAAAGCAGGATATTTTTAGGTTACTGAGTGTATTTAAATCATCTTGGAGTACATTAAAATTATAGTAATTATCCCACCTTCTCATGTGGGATTCTGGGAGGTGATAGATTGGTGGATTGTGCTGGTGGAGTCATCCTCAGCGAGGTCCTTCTGCAAAGCAGAATGATTTTCTTTCCATATTTTACAGCTGCAGCATTCCTGGCCCATTAATATTTGACGATTGAATGCTGGGATCTGCTCACATTGCACCCTCCCTCTGCAGGGCTGCTTCTTGCAGCACCCTGGAGCAGAGAGAAACTCCTGCAAAACAAAAATGCATTCACGCCTGGAGTTATGAGCTTGCACATGCTGGTGAGACTGATGGTCTCTTCACAGCAATGTTTAACTTCTGAATCATTTCTTCTGGCTCCCGTATGGCAATGCAGGTGAACATTACAACTCCCAGGAAAAAAATAAAAAAGAAAGCAAGAACAAAACAAAGAGTTGAATGCTGCAACCCTTTTTGTCTTTACAAAGAAGTCTTTTCCCTTATAAACAGTCATTAACGAATTCTGAGTTATCTGTGGTTTCAATTTTGTATTAAAAAGCTGGTGCTTCAGATCTCTGCCCTTCTTCCAACTTCTTTTCATCAAAATGAGGATTTTATCAGATCTGTAGGAAGGATTCTTGTCTGTAGTTGATGGATCAAAGTCAGGGCAGAGTCCCCACATCTCCTTTTGTTGGAGTAACTCATGTTTCTGCCAAGCCTTGAATTGTTCCTGAGCCTTGGAGATCAAAAGCTGCTCAGTGTCAGCTGGGAGGACTTCCAACCCAGTGTCACCTTGGAAGTAGCCCCTGTCATCATGGAGGATCATAGAATCATAGAATCACCAAGGTTGGAAAAGATCTTCAAAATCATCCAGTCCAACCATCCACCTACCACTGATATTTTCCCACTAAATTGTGTCCCTCAGTACAATATCTGAACGTTTCTTTGAGCACCTCCAGGGATGGTGACTCAATCACCTCCCTGGGCAGCCCATTCCAGTGCCTGATCACTTTTTCAGACTTTTTCAGACTAATTTCCTAGTAACCTGAACCTCCCCTGGTGCAACTTGAGGTCCCTCTTATCTTATTGCTGTTACCTGGGAGAAGAAGCCGAGCACTTGCCTCACTAGAACCTCCTTTCAGGGAGTTGTAAAAAGCAATAAGGTCTCCCCTGAGCCTTCTTTTCTGCATTCTGAACAGTCCCAGATGGATCTCCAGCCCAGTGTCAGCTTGGAAGTCCCAAACATCCCAGTGTCACCTTGGATAACCTCCAGCCCAGCATCACCTGGGAGTTCCTACAAAGCCATGATGACAGGATCTTCAGAGCCTCATGGAGTGTGATCCCTCCACTGAGAGCCCAGACAAGAAAAAGGAGAAACTAATGGGCATCCTTTGGTGGAAGCAAGAAATTCCCAGCACAGCAAACCCAGAGGAGGAGATTTGGGCTGCCACATTGTCCCAGGACAGCATCCCCATCTGCACAGGCTGCAGTTCACTGCTCCTCATCCATCTCAGACTGAGAAGCCTCCATCACTTTCCTCAAACCCTGCCTGCATCTGAGCATTCCCTGCCTCACACCCATGTTCTCTGGCCCATTCCCAGTTCTTCCAGCATCATGTTCTTGATTATTTATTCCCTTAAAATGCTGCAGAAAAATGCTGCTTTTCCTGAATACTAACAAAGGAAAAAAAAACCTTCCTAGTCTGTGTGTTTTCCTCTTTTTGAAGATCTCCATTACCGCTGAAAAGCTCTGTGACCCTTGGAGATATTTGATCCCAGTGACCTCTGGTGCTTGGGACACTGATACGATCCCACCCTGAGTTTATTCTTGAACAGAGCTCACATATCTATCTATCCTTTTATCCATACATAAAACGATTGTCCCCTTTATCTCTCTCATTCCAGTGCTATCTGATCAATTTTTGTCTTTCCTTACACTTCTTTCATCAAATTAATATCTTTTCCCCGAGGGAAATCTCCCGGATTTTCTCCTTTTACACCCTGTCATGTCCCCCTCCAACTTCCCTTCTCCAGACCCAATCCCCTTCTCTCCACACTGCCAATTCACAGTTGTGTTACGTATTCAGCATAACATATATATTTAAATGGGATGATTTCCAGTAATGTAAACAGTCTGGCCCATTAATTTCAGTGGTGGAGCTGACAGCTCTGGGCTGGTGTTTCATAGCCTGGTGACACATGAGTGCAGCTGCTTGAACTCGACGGGTAACTGTTTCCAGCGCCGAGCTGCACATCTGCAGGAGGAAGGAAATACTTTCTGTAACACTGGAAAAAAATAAAGCCGCCTAGATTTCCCTCCCCCCTCACCCCCAGATGATGATGTTCATCATTCAAATGTTTCAGCTGAGTGGGTGTTTAATTCAAAGTTGGATAGGGGACATTTATGATGTGTTGCTCACGCTGCTGTTGATTCTTTGTTCCAGGTGTTGCACTGCTGAGGTCTTCTCCAAAATCACTCTGTGCCCAGCAATATGAGTAGCCCCAATACTTTTGGAGCAGTTGCCTAATTAAAGGATTGATTTCTCTTCAAGGAGGCTGCAGCATGGAGTTAGACTGTACTTCTTGCACTGTTACTGAAAGGAGGTTGTAGTGAGGTGGGGTCAGCCTTTTCTCCCAGGGAACAGTGACAGGACAAGAGGTGATGGCCTTAAGTTGTGCCAGGGGAGGTTCAGGTTGGATATTGGGAAAAATTTATTCTCCAGAAGAGTGGTGATGAAGTGGCACAGGCTGCCCAGGGAGTGGTGGAGTCACCATCCCTGGAGGTGGAGCTAAGGGACGTGCTCAGTGGGTACAGTTTGGGTGGGTTGGGGCTGGACTTGGGATCATAGTGGTCTTTTCCAACCATAGTGATTGTGTGATTCTGTGACTGACAAATGACAGCAGAGGAGAACAAACAGCAAGATTTCTCTGATGGAATGAACTTACTAGGCAACCACTAACCTGCCAAGCGAGGGCTGGGTCACAGTCAGGGACACCAGCCTTGCTGATGGGATCCAGAAGACAAAGTTAAAACATCAGGATTGACTCAGACTTTTCAGTTGCTCGAGGAAAATGTGTGATTAACACCAGGAACCCCTCCAACTTTTTTTTTCTTCAAAGTAACTCAGTATCTTCTCTGTAGATATTCAAGACCCAACTGGACACTTTCCCTGCTCAACTTACTGCAGGGAATCTGCTTTTAGCAGATGATTGGACTCGATGATCTCCGGAAGTCCCTTCCAACCTCTATGGCTATGTGATTCTATGAGTTATCCAGACAGACTGAGGTACCCATAGGACATCATTCATGCTGCTGTCTGTTGGCAGGCCATGCCCCCATGTGTCATGTGGGACCTTCTCTGGGAAAGAGGAATGTATGAAGATAATCTCAAGCTCAAACTGGAGTGGATATGGAAGCACAGTGGGACAGGAAGAGAAAGGAAGTCTGCTGGATTACATGCCAAAGCATAAGCAACAATTTTCAGTCTCCAGTGTTGTTTTTTTCTTAATCTTTCTGAGCAAAATTCAGATACTGAGGAGAACAAACTACCACTGCTTAAATAATTCTTGCTGAAGGATGCCTAGCTATGTCTGGAAAGAGAGAATGTATAGGGACCTAAACATGTCCCAACAAACTGTTGCCAGAAAGTGTACTCCTACCTCCATGACATCCTCTCATCCCTGTCCTTTGGGTGTTGTTCTTTGAAGATCCTTTGAAGATCCTTTGAGATATGTTCTTTGAAAACTTATTCTAGTCTTCTTTTAATGTGCTGGGCAGTCTGGTTCTTTTCTGTCTCGTTAGTCCACTGTTCTACCAGCCTGTCATCCCTTCTTGAAGGACCTGAGGAAGGTGGGAATCCATACTAAGTTGGTTTGGGAGGACCATAGACACTATGTCCCTTCCATAATAAAATGCATCTTAAAAAACAAACAAACAAACCAAACCTTCTTTCTGAAGCGCGTTGAAAAGGCAATAGCAGGTAACATTGTCCTGTAATTGATTAACCAAACTCAAAGAGCCATTCAACTGATCCAGAGTACATACTTGCATTCAACACTATGGTCAGTTATTGCACCTTGTGACTTACTGAAACATGGACAAGAATTTGCCCTTCCCCGTAGCTCACTGAATTTCTTTTCAACACATTACTCGTTGTCTCCAGGCTCAGAAGTTTGTTTCTGAGAAGCACAGATTTTCCAGAAGAAACTCACAGCTGTTTTGTGGAGTTCATTTTGTATCTTTTGTAGAGTAGCAAATTTCCCAGTTCAGGTGGTAAATCCAAGGTGGGAGGGAAGAGGCTCAATTTTCCCTATGAGAGTGAAAAAAGCTGAACTCTCATGAATATCAGTGCTCCTGGACTGCTGAGATGCCCTAGGAAAGTGAATGACAATTTTACACCTACATCAAGTCTGAGCCAAACTCTGCATTAACAGCTTAATGGATCCATGTCCAACTTTCTTCTGGAGGTGTTTCAGGGTGGGAATGAGATGGTTCTTGTGTATGATCGTGTCTCACAATTGGCTTGGGGCTGAAATGATGCAATGACAGCTTGTAATGGTGATGAACTGGGGCCTGCACTGACTGTAATGAGATCCCAGACTAACTTAGATGGAGGCTACAGCTATTAAGCACCACCTAGGTGGGCTGAAGCTTGCTGCCCTTTGATTTGCAGTTCCAAGGTGTCCAATTCTGTAATTCTGGAGCCATATGACAAGAATCGGAATCCTGTCCTCTCATCCGAGCCTCTAATTTTGAGCCCACAAGTGTGAATGACTGCCAGTGCATCTCCCCACTGCAGTGCTTTTCCCAGATGGACTCGCTGTCTACAATTGTTTAGACAAGATCAGATGACTCATACTCCATTCCTTCCCATTAAAGAAGCCTGCCATGATTGGTCCTTTTGGAGAATTTATGCTTTGGACACCTAAAGGCTGGTGAACCCTAAACCAGGAAATGAAGAGAAACTGCATCACTGTCAGACCTAAGAGGTGAGAATAGCTGCTTTCTTCCTCATCCTAACTTTCAACTACTTTGCGCTTGTTTGTTTCTTTGCAGAGAAATAAAATAAATGCATATCTGCTCCCTTGTTTGTCTCTGACTTTGAACAGGACTCTGAAAGACAGTGGGAAAAGATTTGGGTTGCCTTAGAGCTCAGACTGCATGGAAAATTGTTTATTTGCCTGCTTATATCCTGTAATAAAAAATACACAAACAAAACCCTCCTTCTTCCTCTATTAAATCCTTGAATTTATGTGCATAGCTAGTTTATATACTCCTCAGCTCAGTATGTTTAGAGCATGCATGTTGTCTGAACAATCTGCAAGCAGTAGAAGATCTCCAACAGCACGAAAAAGTTCTAGTGCCCCATTATTGCAGAGGAAACTGAGGCTCCCATGGACCCAGCAGGATTTCAGGTCCAGAGGAGCAAGTCTTTGGTAGATTTTAATTTTGGAATGCCGAAGTGCAGGGATTTTGTCCTGCCTTACAAAGGTCTTGCCTATGGCATGTTGCTTCTCTCTTACATACTCTCCTTTTGCCCAGAAAGACAGTTTGTTGGGTAAGTGAACTCTCTTCTTACAATTTGCACCCAACGCTGGGCAATGGGATCTCTCTCTTGTGTAAGACTCATCTTTTTAATACCTTCAAGGCTATATTTAAGAGGAAGAAAAGATTCCCGTATATTTCTTGCACTTTGACTGTGAGCACCCCTGGGATACAACCGATGAGTGATGTGGAGGGTGAGTTCAACTCCTCCAGGTCTGAGAGGGCGTTGGAAATGGGAACTGCCCATTCATATCCCAGGGCAGAACATGTTCCAGAATGCATACAGCTTGCAGACTGCACCTTGATGTAGAAGAACAAGCTGGAAACTTTACCAGCCATCCTCGTCCTGCTGCCCGGTTGGCAGACGTATCTGTGCATCAGATCTATTTGTGCTGCAAAGAAATGTTGTTGCATAACTTCTCTCTTAATCACTTAGTGTGAGCTCTTAGGAGGGAGGGCTGGATTTATTGGATTCATAGGATTTATAGAATTTTCAGGCTTGTTGTTAAACTGATTGTCTGGGGACAAAGGATTCCAGTCTTCCACCATGACAATTACTAGAGTAAGCAACACATTCCACCGAATGCCTGTGAAGTTCAGTCTCAGTGTTAGGATTCACCACAAGGAAAATCCAAGCTGAAAGTTGCACAGAAAGATTCATTGCAGCCACTTGTCTCCTTCACACAGCAAAAAAATGTGCAGCTGGTCTTTCCACCCGTTTGAGCTGTTTGTCGCCCAGCGCAACTGGGCTCTGCTCTTAGACACTGAATCTTCAAAATCATGTTAGCACTGAAAGTCAAGGGAGTGCTAATGTCTTCCACTGAATCTTTGCTAAGTGACAAGAACCAGCATAACTAATTTGGGTCTGACGTAATTGTCTGTGGGCAGGATAAGGAAAGCCTAAATACAGATGGCTGAGGCCATCTGAAATGTCCCAGACTATCTCAGTCATTCATGTACACCTGGCAGGCAACAGATCCAGATTATACTGAGTTTACAGGTGATCTGTGTGCTTCTGGAGCTGTAGCAAGATGCCAACTGTGACATCTTAGGACAGCAAAAAGGCCATAGTCTTTCATGTTAGTCTTCTGAATCTCATTTTAATGGTTGGTCATATGCAATGCACCCAACCACCATGAGCTGTTCAGGCATCTTCATTGACTGTCACTGTTATTTTTTAACAGTCCAGTTCTCTGTAAACAGATTTGGGCAATGGAGGCCCAGCACACAGTGCATCCCAGTGTACATATCTAAAACAGAGCAGATAAATCACACTTTACAAGTGTCTGCTTCTGTCCACTGTCTGAAAAGGGAACTGTGACCAGAACTGGCATGGAGGCCATGCAAAGTGAGGGGAACTGGATACCACCACTGATTCACAGAGTCACTAAGGTTAGGAAAGACTGCTGAGATCACCAAGTCCAACCCCAAACCACCCCCACCATGCCCACTGACCATGTCCATCAGTGACACAACTTCACAGTTCTGGAACATCTCCAGGGATGGTGACCCCACCAGTTCCCTGGGCAGCCACTGCATCACCACTCCTTCTGAGAAGAATTTTTTCCTAGTATCTAGCCTGAAAGATGAAAGATGGAGATGAAAAGGCTCAATTAAAAACATCTTGGCAAGGGAGCCTGCCCACATTTCAAAGCAGCTCTATCCCAGCCTTCCTTGCCCCATGTTTCCCCCTGACATGGAGCAGCAGAGAAGCAAGCAGCCATGCAGCAGCAGCTCCAAGCCCATTGCACATTGCTAGAACTGCACGGGCTGCCAGGGATGGTGCATGACCAGCACACAGCTCTGCAAGGTGCTCTGCAGCCAAGCAAGCTGTCCAAGCCCGCTGAAAACCTGCCACCCTTGATGCAATACGGCAGAATGCTTTTCTTCTTCTGCTCCCTGGTGCTTATTGATTGGAGTATTAATAAAATCTTGTTCCAAGCTCCCTCAGCTTCCGAGATTACTTGGGAGCAGTCCAGCCCTGCAGCCCCAGCCATGCTTGTAATGTGGGGACTGGAGGATCAAAAACATTTTTAAATGGCTCTGCTAATCAATCATCAACAATTGGGTAAATTAAGCCCTGCAGTCTTTCCTTTTGTGAGCAAGGGATCTGCTGGACATATC